CTTGGGGTCATCCCTTAGGAACACGTGCGTTGAATTCCACTTGGGGTCATCCCTTGGGAATTACAGCGCACACCTCTGTTATGATATGGTTATATGTTCTGTTCTGTTATGATATCTGTTATATGTTGTACTGGTATACTCTGTATCTTACTTTCATGCAGGAGTGAGCCAGGGGTATGGAGAATTCTCTATAAACCTGGAGCTTACTGAGATTTGAAATCTTACCCCTCGTTGGGGCAACATTTTCAGGTGCACAGACTTCCGGTGAGCCTTCGTTAGGCAGGGACACGACACGGGGCTGAGACGTTTGACGGATCAGTATTTTGAGTAGCTGTAGGCTACTAATCTTTTTGGAGTGTACCTATGTATTTCGTATTTCCGTAGTGATGGATCATTATGTTAGATCCTGTATTTTGTATATGGCCTGTATATGTCTTGTACATGTCATTCAGTGGATGCATGTACCTTTTGTATTCAGGCATGTTGATATGACTATGTAGTATTCAGTTATGTTTCTGTATTGGACTGCATGTTGTTAGATTAGTGGCACGGAGCCAAATTCTGCATGCGCCCATGGATGGGTATCTGATTATATTGCATGACTGGTACTTCTGAATATGAATATTATTGAACTGTCTATCAGGAACTCTTGGGAGTGGGATTGGAAAATCCTCACTCGTCCGATTTACAGAGGTTACTCTGTCCGATTTTTGGTTATACTTTGTATGAAGCTACGAAGAAAAAGAAAAAGTTAGCCCGTATTTCCGTAAGATAAGTCTTCCGCTGTATCTGTTTATATCATATGTATGTTAATTGAACCGGGTCGAGACGGGGATATTACAGTAAGAGTTTGTAAACAAAAAAGTTTGTAAATATAACCTGTCCCTAAAAAAAAATGCTAATTAGTTTTTAAATATTTTCTAAAATAAAATTGCTTAATTTTTTATTTTAAATTAAAATAAATTAATTTAAACACGATGTAAATTTTGTCTCACAATTTTTTTATATGTAAAAATATTAAATGTGTTAAAGAAAATACTAAAGTGAAATATTTTTTAAAATTTTAAGTAATGAGATATTTATTTTAAATTTAATAAAATTTATATATAAATTATTTAAAATTATACATATTTACTTTAAAAAAATTATTCAATAAACTTAACTTGAAAATATTAACCTTGTTTCATAAACTTAAATTATGAATTGGACTAGACAGTTTATTACTTTTTGAAAATATTATAGTTATCACAATTTTAGACTTATAAGTTTACAACTTATTTGGTTATTGTTAGATTAATTTGAAATCAATAATTTAAAAAAGGAAAATTTTAATTCCATTAATTCCGAATTATTCTAACTATAACCAAATAAGTTGTAAGAGTAATGAAAATATAAAATGATGGTAAGTACAACAACTCTTTCTTAATTTAATAAAGTTATAAATTTTGTTAAACTGTAGCAAATTTGGTTATATTTTTTTTTATGATTTTAGCTCATATTTTATTTATAAAAAAATGCTATAATAATATTTTAGAGCTTTAATTCTTCGTAAAATAATTTTTTAAAAGTTTTTGTATACTAAAATTTTATCATGTGGCATAAAGTATAACTTGGACTTTTTTTATCATATATAATGGTGTAATATAAATGTTAAAAAAATAACAATTAAATTATATATGTTAAAAAAATTACTATGTTTATTCCATATATAGAGTATTAAAAACATGTTTCTACATTTATTAGATTAATAATATCTATATTTAAAATTTTATTAATATCCAATTAACTTTAGATCTCGAGCAGAATGAAAAATATATATATATATATATATATATGTATAATGATAAAAAATAATTTAATTGACTTCCCTATAATTGAATTTAATTGAAGAATCGGTAAATAAATAAAAAAAATACTATTTGAATTAGAAATATATCATTATATAATTATACAATTTTTAATGGATTATAATTACGATAATATACAATATTTATATGAAACACGAAATAGCAATGCCATGGAAGAACTTGTTAAGTAAAATTATATACGAATGGACTAATTAATAATCACTGTATGAATCAATTAGTCTAGACTCAAATCTGTTGATAACTCTCGAATGAGAGTTAATTTGATATATGTATGATAAATTTGCTCAATAAATTTTATATAAAGTTTCTTAATTGCATGATAATTGATCTGAATGTTGCATATTCGTGATTAAGTGCTTTAAGATAATTAAATATGGAAAACAAGACAATATTACTTGATTTTTGTGTAAGAATAAATGACTAGTTGAGTGCTTTGTCTTTGCAGAAAAAGTTGACGCCCGAATGCTGTAGCAGAGAAGCTGACAAAGTAATAATATAGCAATTGGGACGACATAACAAGAGGATAGGGGAACAACTGAAATTCAAATTTCAAAAGTTTTAGTTATTTTTCCAACAAACGAATAAAGCACCAGCAAACAAGAGATAAGGACGTTTTTGAAGATCAAATCACATCTTACATCCCAACAATCAAGGATAACAAACTCTTATCTAATCAGCAACAATATTGGCAGAGTAAATTCAAGAAGATCAATATTTTATCCAATCAAGTGCCAACAGCCCTAAAAAATAAGGATAAGATAAGGTTGCAACAACACAATTCATGGATTTTCGCTCCAAAAGCTGAGGTCCAAGTAACCAACCACTTTTTCTATTTAAAGAGGATTGTCGTACGAATTCAGAAGGCTGGAACGAAAGAATGTAGTACCTCATCACATTTAGAGAGAGAGGGAGAGTTCCCCGGAAGTTGAAGTCAGAAAGCAGTGTCTTGCTATAGCATTGTTGAGGAGAGGAACCTGGTCGCGACATAATTTTGATGCAACATTGTTTAGTTTTCGAATTTGTCTCAGTGTTTTCTCTTCCCTTTTCTTTAATTGTTTTTTATTTCCACCATGAGCTAAATTGCTCCTTGGGTTGGGTGATAAAAGTACCTATAATGGATGCCTAAGCTTTGTTGCTATGAATGTTTGATTAGTTTTTCAACAAGTTTGCTTATTTGTATTCATGCATGCATGTCGATAGATACATATATGACATTGAGAAGGTTGAGGCCGAGAGGTTTCCGAATCCAAACCCTTGTTGAATTGTGTGGATTAATTAGGTGAAGAAAATTAACTTGATTAAGTTGTGGGTAGAGAGATCATTTATACCACATAACCTTTGAATTTGGTAATTAATTTGGCCATAGAGATATGAGAATTAGTTATTGGGTATATATGTTAGGTTGGTCAAAAGCCTAGTACTTTAATGTTTGGTTATTAATTAAGTATTGTTATAATATCATTTCAGTATTGTTGTATCAGGGAAATTGAACGTGACATATATCTCATCCATCACTTTAATGTCTTAGAATTAACTTACTGTTTTTTAGTTTAATTATCTTTTATTTTACAAACCCCACCATAAAAATTAATCATTTTATAGTTTCTTTACTTAAATAATCGTTGCTTTATAAATCATCTCCATGAGAACGATCTTGGACTCATACATTCCTCTATTGTTTGTGACACGTGCACTTGTGTATTTATGTGATTCATTTAATTGATTGCACATTGCACAACAAGTTTTTTAGCGTCGTTGCCGGGGATAATTGTATAAAGTTATTTTTATTTGAGTAAAGAAATTTTCTCTACTTTCTATCTTTTCTTTTCTCTTCTTTCACCTTTTTTTTCCAGGTATTAATTGCAGCGTATGAGCAGTTCTTCATCCGAGCAGGAATTGAATTTTGATCCTGAGATTAAAGGGACGTTTCGAGCAAAAAGGAGACGACAAAGATGCAATACAAGGAAACGGTGAAGGAAGTGGACCTATACCTACCAATGAAGGTCAAGCTCAAGTTGAGATTCCAATCAAAGCACATGCAATTCATACGCTCAATAATTTGCATTCTGGAATCGTTCAACTTGATGTAGCAGCCGAGCATTTTGAGCTGAAGCCAGGGATGTTTAACATGCTGCAGACCATTGATCAATTCAATGGACTGCCTAGTAAAGACCCTCACCTTCACCTCAAGAATTTTATGGATGTAACAGACACTTTCAAGATCAGATGAGTCACATTTGATGCTCTGAAGCTGAAGTTGTTCCCATATTCCCTCACCAACAAAGCTAAAGCATGGTTGAGCTCTTTACAACCACACTCAATCCGAAGTTGGGAGGAGTTGGCTGACAAGTTCTTAATGAAGTTATTTCCTTCTATGAAGGCAGCCTAATATAGTAATGCTATTTCAACCTTCAAGCAATTGCAAAAGGAATCATTTTATGAAGCTTGGAATAAATTTAAAGAGTTGTTAAGGAAGTGCCCCAACCATGGCATTCCCTAATGGATTCAAATGGAGACATTCTACAATGAACTTAATGGACCAACAAAGAGCATGTTTGATGGATCATCTGGAGGAGCCCTTTTAGAAAAGACATATACAGAAGCATATGCAATTTTTGAAAGGATGATAGTCAACAACTATTAGTGGCCTATGGAAAGAGCGAGTTCAACACCAAAGAAGGTTGTTGGAGTTCTCGAACTTGATGCTGTAACATCACTGTCAACACATATTTCAGCTTTAAACAACTCTATCAAGACGCTGAGTCTGTCTACCGAAGCTAAGGCACAACCAATCAATGCCATAAATGATGCTATATCATGTGTTTTATGTAATGGTCCCGTATCTATGATAATTGTCCATAGAACCGTCAATCTGTTCATTTTGTAGGTAATTACAATAGGAACAACAATTCATATTCAAATACCTACAATTCCGAATGTAAGAATCACCTAAATCTTTCCTATTCTCAAGGACAGCATAAAGGACAACAACAAGTATCCTTAGACGGTGGAAAAATGTTGAGAGTATTTTTCGGGGAATTTTACCCTTTGTATATCGTGCCCTACCTTTGCACTGTGCGAAACAAAATCAATTTGCTCGACTGAAACTCCCCTTTACTTATCCAGTGTTCATAAGCTTTCAATTTGCTCTGAAACTTGGCTAATCGAGTTGCTCGTAGATGTTCGTCGCTGTGTTTGACACCGCATTCGAACTGCTTCCACGGTGAGTTCTCTTCCTTGGCTCCCTCTCACTCATACGAGCTGTCTCCACGATTTCTCACTCGTGTGTGTACATGATATGGCATTATTTTCTCTTTCTATATGAAAATGGGGATGGCTTGTTCCCATTTGTATTTGGTCATTCGAGATCCAAGTCCAACATTTTGTCTTTTTTCTTCTTCTTTTCCAAAAGTGGAGTTGCGTATAAAGGAGGTGTGCCTTATTCATTTCTTTTGTTCCCATTTGTATTCTCTATGTTCTATTATTTACAAGTTATGGATTTGTGTCTCATGACCTTTACCTACATGGGTATTTGAGTGCTTCCATAAAGTTTCCTGGGGATTACACTGTTGGAGTGGTGATTGCTTTTTTATGTGAGTAACTAGTTCAAAATTCAAATACCTGATCAAATATAAAATTCAAATAACCATTTTCTAGCATAATTTGAAGAAATTATGGCTATCCATATAGATTTTCATCATTTACACTATTTTTCTCCCTATTATTTTCTTTCTTTTTTCCGTTATATGAGTTATAGACCAGATAGTTTAAATTGACTGCAGCTGGCCATCAAACAAGGTTATAGGCATTTTGATGTTGCTGTTGCATATGGGGTAGAGCAGTCAGCAGGGGAAGCCATTGCAGAAGCACTTAAACTTGGACTTATTGTTTCTAGAGATGAACTCTTCAGTACTTACAAACTTTGGGTCACTGACAATCATCTCGAACTTATTGTTCCTGCTTTATGCATTGTGGTCTGTGGAGTAGTGCAGTTCTCTATCATACAAATTGTAATTAAACATCTGGTGACTTGGCTTTATGCAGGATTGTGGGCAGCCTGGATTTACCTTGGCTGAAAGAAAACGACTTGGTAGTTGGTACTAGGATTAAGAGAGTGAGTAATCTCATTATTCATTTTGTTCAATGATTTTTGTTACCTTTGCATCAACATGGCAAAACCTGATACGTGAACATGTTATCATGCAGGATTGGATTCTTCCTTTCACTCAAAGTTGTGACACAGAAAGTTGCAGTCTATCTAACTTGATGATGAGATAGATTGTATGGATCCATTTGATGTTTGTTCTGTCATATAGCATTTGGTACAATTTGTAATGCTTGATTTATAATCAATTTTCATAGAAAAATGATTATTGAGAAAAAGTACATTCCGAAGTTTAGTACCAAAATTTCTGCACAAGAATAACTACATGGAGCTAAGTTATCATGGTCTGGAAATCCAGTTGGAAAGTAAGAATTTGATTTTATTGAGTTTTATACTGTGTCAATTGATTCTCAACATTAATGCTTCTTAAAAATTAAACGGGTGATTACATGAAGCACTTGACTCGGGAGTCATCTCATAAAGCATCTGACTCGTTTTATCAAGACATCAAATCCTAATCTCATGGTAAAAGTGACTTTTTTTATTCAAATCCTTTTGATTCATTTTCATTTTGATGTCTTGTCTGTAATTCATTTTGTTTATGCACTATTATTTCTAGTTGGAAAACATGGCTCGTTTTCTTTGTGAGTTGGGAGTGATGCATTATGCCACCTTTAAGTATTGCCCATCAATGGTTGTTGCCTCAGCTCAACAATCTTTGCAGCAAGATGCACTCTGAATAAGAGCCCCATTTAGAATGAGACTCTTAAGCTACACACTGGTTACTCAGAAGAAGAACTTATGTAAATATCCCTCCTGATATCCTTTAGTATTGTTATTCATTATTATCATTATCATTATTCAATTGTTGAATAATTCTAGTTGAGTTTGTTGGTTCCAAACAGGGTCCGTGCTAAACTACTGGTGAACTTTCACTCTTCTGTTGTTGGGAATGGAAAGCATAAGGCTGTGTGCAGGAAGAACTCTGATCCTAGGAGAGGGTTTGTTGCAGTGCTTCCACCTGCTAAAGTTCTTCTCCCTGAAAGTTCTATCTCAATTTGCCCAAAACATTTTTAGAGTTTTATGTGGGATTATGCAATAATCATTTGTTATTGTATACCTTTTATGTGCGATTTGGCAATAGAATTCATTATATTTTTCTTTTTTACAAGTTCATTTGTACTCGTTTTATGTGGTATTGGGCATTGTATTATTTTTGTGCTCTTTTACAAGCCTATTTGCGCATATGAGTAACACAGAATTTGTCTTACAAATTGCTAGTTTTCTTTTTCTATTTTTCCTCACCTTTCTTATGGGTTCTCAAATCATTTTAACACAAACTCCCTCTAAATTACTTAACCCAAAATTTGATCAAATGATACGAATTTTAACCCTTTCTACACTCAATCAATAGCAGAAACCAAGTAATTTGGCAGTTTCAATCAATGGCAGTTTAAAAATTAAGTTTTTTGTAATCCGAACCGAATTATACCGAATTATTTTATCTTATTTAATATGGCTTTAATTTTCCCGAATCGGTATATGATTAAAATCAGTTTGTGCTTAACTACCATAAAATACTTAATTTTTAAGCTTCTTATATTTGTTTCAAATTACGATAAATATAATTTTTTAAGTTTTCATTTTCTCAAGAAAACATTTATATTTACATGTATAAAGGCAATATTTATTCCGTATCACATCATGCGTTGATATCTAGTATCTCCGAAAACATCTTTCATGCTCACGCAGTACTAGATTTAGAAATGTAAATGATTTTTACCATTTTACCCACCTTTTATGATTATTCTCATTTATATACTTTTTTTTTTATTTTTAATAAAGAAATAAATACTCCTGTAATAAATAAGTAAAATATGCTCGAAATTTACAAACCAAGAGCACATGTATCAATTGTGTATTAATTTTATGCGAATATTGTATTTATTTTACTTTCTATAAAATCTATAATTTTTATTATAAGTGTTAGCGTTGCTAAGTTTTATTTGAATGATTTATTTTATAATTAAATAAATCGAAATTAAATGTTTATGTTTTATGTTTTCTTATCTGGGATGAATTTAAACGAAATTAATTAAGAGTTTTTAAATGAAATTAAAATTTTCTAATTCATTTTATCAAAATTAAATGAATTTATTTAAAAAATCATGTTTTTTTTTTGTTTTATAATTTTACGACAAAATGCAAGAGAATTGCTGTCGTGTTGATTTTTTGTAGTTGAAGTCATCGTTAACTGCATTAAATCGATTGCACAAAAACGACGTTTCGTAAACATCCAGCTCGTCGTGACCGCACCCAATAGATATCGTTTTAAGCATAAACTTCCAAGAACCTGACCAGACCCAGTGCCCATTCCATGCCCGTCTTTGACGAGTGCTTCTTTTTTCCCCCTTTCTAGAAACACGAATAAAATAAGGGTTTGAATTTTATGATTTAAAAAAATATAAATTATGTCATTTTAAAAAGATAAAAAAATAAAATCATAAAGAAATAAATGTTTTTTTATAATTTAAATTTTAAATAAAACAAAATATTATTTTATATATATATTTTAAAAATATAAATTTACGTCATTTATTCTCCTAAAAAATAATTGTATGTAATCTTTCACGTCATTGGAAAAATGATAAAGCTAACAAACCCCATAAAGTAGAAGCAGAAAAAAGGCACACCAACTTAGATTCATGCTTTTTAAAAACGAAAAAAAAAAAAGAAGGTCAAAATTCATTTCGATTGCGTTTTTTCAATTAGCTGCAACAACTTCTCAACTCGTCGTAACTCATGGTCAGAGTCACACTTTTTTTTCCCTCCTTTCTCTCTCCTCTCTCATAACATAACCACAATGATGAACAAACCATTCCTCTGCTTGCACGTCCTCTTTGCCTTTCTCGCCGTCGCCGGAGCCTCCTCCGTCGACGGCGCTGAGCTCGACTACTCCAAGCTCTCCGGCGTTATAATCCCAGGCTTCGCATCTACCCAGCTCCGAGCATGGTCTATTCTCGACTGTCCTTACTCCCCGCTCGATTTCAACCCTCTCGATTTGGTTTGGCTTGACACCACGAAAGTACGTCGCCATCTCTCTCTCTTTCCGTTGTTTTACGTCGTTTTGCATCCTACTGCATGAGGATCGAATATTGCCGTATTTGGCTACGGCAAAAAAAAAAGAAAAAAGAAAAGCACGAGAGATTTTTATTTTTTTTTCACTCCTTGATCGATTTGTGATAGTTTTGTCAATTCCTTACGTGTCTATATGTTGACGAAGATGTAAGTTCTGAAAGGATATAAAAACATTGAAAGAATTTGTGCATTTTTGTTCTGCTTGGAACCTAGCTCCAACACTGTTGTCTCCTCTGTTTGTTTTTCTATGTCTGAAATTAGCATTACGAGAAATGACTTAAAGAGTTAAATGTACAGTATACGAGTGTAGTGTTTTCAATTCATTTGTGCTTGCAGCTTCTTTCTGCTGTCAATTGCTGGCTTAAGTGCATGATGCTGGAGCCTTACAACCAGACAGATCACCCTGATTGCAAGTCCCGTCCTGATAGTGGTCTTTCCGGTATTACAGAACTTGATCCAGGTTATATAACAGGTGTGTTTTGAATCTCTCCATGCTGCGTATAATATGCATTTGTCTTGTATTTATCGTAGTTTTTGTTATTTTATGGTTTGACGATGTAATTTTTTATTGGCAGGTCCTCTTTCGTCAGTGTGGAAAGAATGGATTAAGTGGTGTATTGAATTTGGCATAGAAGCTAATGCAATAATTGCTGTTCCTTATGATTGGAGATTGTCACCATCCATGCTTGAAGAGCGGGACCTTTACTTTCATAAGCTAAAGTATGTCTACTACATCTTTGCATATGAGTCACTGTAGTTCAGGCAATTATTTTCTGCTATGATTTGGATAAAATTGCTTGCTTGTTACAAGTTGCATTCAAATTTTAAGGAAGTATTATTGTATCTAACTAGATCATCTATCCCAATAGTATAACAATGTTTTCATTTGGCTGTTTTTTACATTTTGCTAAGGGGCTGCCAATTCGTTTCTGCTAACCAATTAATTTTCCAGTGCTTAAAGGTTACTTAAATGCATACATGATAGTGATAAATCTAGCTGAATTGTCTGTAAAATTTTCTGTTTGCATCTATGCAACCTTCATAAGCAAATAGTATCTCCATTATAGCTTTAGTCTATGTTTGGAAGTTTTAGAGAGAATGGCATGAATGGAAAGGGAAGGGATGGAATTGAAAATAGTTACCTTCTCCATGTTCTTGTATGACTTATGTGGGAAGAAAGCAGAGGGTAAAAGGTTGCAAGTGTAAAATTTTAATAGAACCCTTACACTCTATTTAAATAACCAAACTTATGGTTTAGAATACTAAATGTTTAAAATAAAATAAAAAAACTACTTCCCTTCATAAGCCCCTCAATTTGGAGGGGAACTACAAGTGAGTGTTGGAGGAGGAATAGTTCTCCACACATTCATAAATTTTTGAACTCCAAACTAAGGAGTTGTTTCCATCTCACCCTACTTATTACCCCTCATCTGAATTAATTCTTAGATTTCAAATTCTTCAAACAAAAATAATTGCATGACTGACAATGACATAATAAATTGGTCACACTGTCTGTTCTTGAGAATTAGAGTCTGATTTAATCTAAGACTAAGAGTATTCTTAATGACTTTAGTTTATTCTCCATGTATCTTTGTAAATCTTGGCATTTGGTGATTCTGATAATCCATATAAACACGGAATTTACAAATATACACATGCACATTTGAAATGCTCTAGTATGATATATTGATAAATATTGGTTAACAATAAATGGTTAAATTCTAATAGTATCTGTACACCAGAATTTGGATGCACTATTTCGAAGCTGTAAGTCAATTTTATTTTATTTTTCCTCAAACTGTCAGGCGATTAGATGAAATTGAAATTGACTTGTTAGTTACCGTGAGGATATTTATATTTTTGAAATTGTATTTCTCTTTGCAGATTGACATTTGAAACTGCTTTCAAACTTCGTGGTGGCCCCTCTTTAGTTTTTGCCCATTCACTGGGTAATAATGTTTTTCGATATTTCTTGGAGTGGTTGAAGCTAGAGATTGCCCCAAAACATTATATCCAATGGCTGGATCAACATATTCATGCCTTTTTTGCCGTTGGTATGATTGATTTGTGTGCATTTGTTACCCTTTAAAGGTATTGCTGATAATGATAGTTTAAAAAGCTGATTTTCCTTCTTTGGTTTGTTGTCTCAGGAGCTCCCCTTCTTGGTGCAACTGAAACCATTGAAGCAACACTTTCTGGATTCACATTTGGTCTTCCTATTTCTGAGGTTACCTTTTATTTTTGTAACTTCTCTTTTCATTTGAAGGGATTAGTATTTCACTATTTCTCATGGTGTAGAAGATAATTTTATCTTCTACACACACATAAAAATGTGTGGGGTTCATGTTTTCTTTTTTTCTCTCTTCTTGTCACATGGCCCCTCATGGGCCCCACACACTTTTATGTGTGTGTAAGAGATAAAATTATCTCCTACAACATGAGAAACATTAATCTTCACATGTTGCCAATTTGCCGTCACCCGTTTTTTGCTTTTAGTTCTTCTTGATCACTAAAAAGACAAGCTAGAGCTATGCGCAGCTCCGTAGGAATTTTGTGACTTTAATAGGATGCATGCAACATCTCATTATGCTTTTGTCTTATTACGGCAGCTGGACTTGGGAACTATGTAATATCACATCTAATCAGTAACTTTTGGCATCCAGGCATTGCTTGGGCTGCTTGCATTATTCAGCCGCTTATCAGCATCATAGAACTTCCTTGTTCATTATTCATTTGTGGTCTTGCCTTTTCTCCATAATGTGATTGCAACACATAAATTGTAAATTTCCAAATGTTCTCCCTATTGTCATGTCCCGCTTCTAAATATTCACCTATATGATGGGAGCATGACATGGATGGATTTGGAAAATTGCCTATACTTGCCATTTGAAGTGGGCAGAGTGTCCTAGATTCTGGGATTTAGAGCTTGTACACTAAATTTGGAGAGAGATTATGTTCATTTTCAACTAAAAATTTAGGTTAAATTCAAAGAAATAATTTGCAGTAAGGGGGAAAACAGAGAAGGAAACTTGCGTCTTGATGAAAATGCCCATTATCATCCTATGCTTGAGAAACTGGAAACCAAGCATTTTACTATAAAATTACTTAAATTTCTGAAAAATGAAAAAGAGAAAGATAGAAAAAGAAATACTCCGGATTTTCTAAACCTAGCCGGCATGTATTTTTTTCCACTAAAACCAATTTTTATTATAAATCTATAAGAGAATTGCGAAATTCCAAGATATTTATAGTGTTCTTCAATTAAGCAATGCTGAACTGGTGAGCTACTTCTCTTATACATGACATGCTTCTACGTCCTTTCTTGGTTGATTCAAATCCAAAACTCTTTAACCCTGAACTGCTGATAGAAAAATCTTTCAGATGACATGAAACCTTCTCTCCTTGCTATTATGCATGCATGCTAGAAAAGACTTGTCTGAATAGCTAGCTGGATGTTCTGTAGAAAATAGCAGCTTGAGTTCTTAGTTGTGCGTCATGATTGTCAGGAAGTGATTGAAGTTGCATCTTGTTATTCTATCATCCTCCGTACCCGGTAGATAATCAACACCCAGATAAACATCAAACTGCTATGGGTTGATGGATGGATTGATTTGGACATTTGTTCCATGTTTAATATTGCAGTTTTATAATACATGCTTATCATAATTTTTTTAAGGTATCAGGGAACAGCTCGATTGATGTTCAACTCCTTTTCTTCATCATTATGGATGATGCCTTTTTCCAAGTACTGTAGAACAGACAATAAATATTGGAAGCATTTTTCTGGGGGAAGGCATGTAGGTCATCATCATACATATCACTGTGATGAGCAGGAGTTTCAGTCAAACTTCTCTGGATGGCCAACAAAGATAATCAACATTGAGATTCCTTCAACTCGGGGTAAGATTTGTAAAGAACCATTTTAATTCAAAATTTGAAGCTGTTAGGTGAAGCCGTATTAATGGTTTTATATTATATTTTTCTAACATCATTGATGATTCTTATACATGTGCTAGTGGGCAATCTTGGTATGGTGCTAATGGATTCTAACAACCTATTTGTATTTTCTGCTAGCAGGATTTGATGCATATCCTTCGTTTTCCGAAATACCTCAGGCCAACTTGTCCAACATGGAATGTGGACTACCTACTCAATTATCTTTCTCCGCTCGTGAAATAGCAGATGGCTCCTTTTTCAAGGCAATTGAAGATTTTGACCCAGACAGCAAGAGGCTATTGTACCAGTTAGAGAAGTGAGTGTTATCTCAATAATCATTAGAATATATTTTGCAGGAATATTTTGATCATCTAAAAATATCAAATGCCAAAACTTGAGACTTCTGAAACTTTTTTTTTGTTACTGTATAGAATGTATTAAGTTACCATAAAAATCACTCCCCATTAAACCCCAACTAGCGAGGGTGGAGTATGACAACCCTTATACACAGTGTTACCCTTGCATATTTGCAAAGAGACTGCTTTTTTATTCAAATTTGTGTCCTTTTAGTCATGAAGGAGCAACTTTACCACTATTCCAGGCTTGCCTTGTTGTTCAGGTTTGATATTACTATAAACAGCTTAAATACTTACAACAATGGAAATCATCTGACTGAAAATATGTTCTTACGATATTGTTCTGATGAAGTAAAATATGCAAATAAAACCCCATTTGCCAAAAGAAAAAGTTGTAACTTATTAATTTATAAATATGGTTACAACCAAGAGGTTTAACAAGGAACAGTACATTGGGTGCTTTCATTAACAAGGAATTTATGATTATAAACAAAGAAACAGATGCATCTCTAATATCTGTTTTATTATCTATCCTGAAATAAAGGTTTTGACAAGAATGTTTTCTAAGAGCAAGTTTCCCTTCCTATTATAAAATTTCTAATTTCATGTACTTTCTTTTTTTGGAACATTATTTTACTGATAAGCAAGTTTATATTGTTATTTGTAGTTCTACTATTAAACAGGCATATGTTTGATTGCTTTAATGTTTCAGATCATATCTTGGTGATCCTGTTCTTAATCCACTTACGCCTTGGGAACGGCCACCAATAAAAAATGTCTTCTGCATTTATGGCACTGATTCAAAGACTAAGGTATAATTTATTTCTAATGTATAGCTCAACTGCAAATACTAAAGAATTCCATTTTAGTGAAGTTTGGTTATTGGTTCTTTCAAAAAAGAAAAATCTGAAATTGATAACTTGAAAGTGATGAAACTCTTGCACTAGCTTTACTATTCATTTGAATCCCATTTTGTAGTTTGTTTGAGTTTTGAACTATGTCACGGTTATGTTTTAATTACCATGTCTGACATTGCTATTTTGATTTTTTTTAAGTACCAAATATTGGACCAAAATATATGGTGCACCTGCATGCATAAACAGTGAGTTTTAATTGGTCTTGAAAGCTGCGAAGTGCCCCAATCTTTTAATTTTTTGGGACATCTCTATATGTGTTAAAGTCACATCACAAGTACGAGTGATTTTTTAATTTGATCATTTTATACTCCCCATCATGTTTATTTGCAACTCTTTACGTTATTGCTTTCCCTCAGTATGGTTAGTTTTGTTAAGCAGAGGCCAAATGTAGAAATGATTATTCCGGCCTCTCCATAACCTCGAATATTCAAAGTTCTACAGAAACTTTCGAGACATTCAATGCTTGTTTCTCTCTCTGTGTAAGTCAGTTTAATAGCATTTTCTTCTTTGGTCTTTGCTTCTTTGTGCTCATTGTTGAATATCGAATACTTTCTAGTGGTATAGGGGTGACACTGGTTTACTGATACCATAATAACTTGCAGTTCTCACAGCTAAAATATTTGTCTGTTTTATTTAGCTTCATAAATAATGCACGTTGTCAAAATCTTTGCATGTTAACTATTTTTTTTTCCTGATTTTTCAACATTTACTTGTTTCCTGAGATTCTTTGGGGAGTCTGTTTATCAGAAATTGCGTTATTTTGAATTGTAATTCTGCAATCTGAACTATCAAAAACAGGTTGGTTATTACTTTGCCCCTAGCGGCAAGCCTTACCCTGATAACTGGATCATTACGGATGTCATTTATGAGTTTGAAGGATCTCTAATCTCAAGGTAACGGTCAGTTTTTTATTCGGTAAAAGGGTTTTTTTATAGTTGTAAATGAAAATTCTATTACTCTCTCTCTCTCTCTCTCTCATTCTGTAGTTGTACATAAAGAAGCATTTCATGTTTTATAAAGTTACAAAAATAGTTGCCTCTTCTGCACCTTGTTTTTTTGCTCATATGGTTTTGGGGCCTGGAAGAATACCATCTTTTCCTATCTGCATGTTCAAATTCTTTTCTATTCTTTTCCTATGTTCTCTTCTGTTTGGTTTTTTATCTTTCAAGGGAAAGGGGAAAGGGGGAAGAGGGATTCATAGAGAAGCATATTAACTGTGCAAAACAGTTATCTTGTTAGTTGAACTTGTGTGCAGAATATTTTGACACTGGTAACTCCTTTTTTGCTGTTGTTTTGCAAAGCATTGGTTAATATCCTGTGTCATTTCTGTGCCAATTTGTCATAACCAGTTCCTACAAGAAGGAAATATAGACTAGCTTTTGTTAGTCATCTTCCTTGTTTTTGTTGGGGGGAAGGGGGTAAGGTTTGTTGGTTAAAATTTTGTGTGTTAATTTTGCAAATTAATGTTATCTTTTATAAAACGTGTATAATGGGTAAATAGTTGTTAGTTTGTTACTATTACAGTTATTTTTTTTAAACATTTTTCTGGATATTCTATTTAAACATGTTAAAGTGTTTTTGTCTCAACTTTCAGGTCAGGGAATCTGGCTGAAGGGAACCCTGGAGCCACAAGTGGCGATGAGACGGTAAGCTTAAATTATGTTTCCTTTACTGTGGTTGTGATTATATAGGAAGGCATAATATATTGACCTTCCTGCTTATGTATTTGTACCCTTTTTGGTATTGAGAGCATATCATCTTCATTCAACAATTGGATTACCATAAAGTCAACCCTTTGTAGGTACCATACCAGTCCCTTTCCTGGTGCAAGAATTGGCTTGGACCAAAGGTGAACATAACAAGAGCTCCTCAGGTATTCCAGTCTAAAAATGATTATGTGCGAGCTATGTTTGATTGTTCTTTTTATCTGCAATTAAGTATGATTTGTCATAGTTAGGAAGATTTGCAAACACGTGTCAAATCAATAAATGATTAGTTTGCTGGGACTTACGGTGTTGTATTAATGTTGCATGTCCTTATCTGCTGGACAGATAATTGTGTCCATGAGTCCTAAGCCCATAAGAAGTGTTTGCTGAAAATGTATGATATTGATAAGGAAAACAACATGGAGTTTGTTTTACACTTCATTATGTGTCTAGTGATTTAAAACGTTGCCCCCAAACGGAAAAAAATAAAACAATTTCTACTGTGTTTGCGGGAAACTACTCTAGCATCCAGAGACTCTAACCCTGTTAGTTCTGCATATACTTGTGAATAGCCCCGCTTTAGCGCGCTATAGCGGAGTTGCGTTGCGGTGCAGCGGTTGGCAGCCACTGACCGCACTGCGACGGTCAGGCGAAGTGTAGCGGATGTAGCGGCCACTATTGCGCCGTAGTTTCTGCAAAAGTGTTCTCATCGTAGAAGAAAGAGATTTGCAACTTAGATACAAGTGAAAGTGAAGATGAAGATTTTGATGTTCATGATTTCAATTATGATTATTCCTTAAGTTCTTTTATTTTGACATTTCACTTAAGTGGCAGTTTGAATTTTGAATAATTTTGCCACTTTATTTTGTTGTTACATTATTTAAGACTTTAATTCCTTCAATTTGCTTATGATTTGAATTTTAATGTTTGAAATTATTTATGTTTGAGTTTGAGATCCTTCAAATTTGTTTTTTATGTCACATTTTCACATTTTAAGTTTTGTATTTGTGGAGTACAATTTACTGTATCACTTAGGTACACTTTGCACAGTAGCGTTGTACTGCTACCTGCTATAGCGCTATAGCAGTTTGGAGGGTCAGGCGCTACGCGCCGTTATCCGAGATTAATAAGTATCTAATATAGTGAAAAGGTCATTGAACTTGTTACCTGTATGTTCTCAACCATTTGATTCAGTTTCTGATTTAATAATTTCCTGCAATTAACATCTCAAACTGGAAGCCATCAATTTAAGTCATGCATTTTGATTTATAGAAAACTTTATCTTTTCAGCTTTGATATTTGTTGTTGTCATGCTTCTGTTTTTCATATCTTCATTTAGGTTCGTTTGCATGGATATTATAATTGTATGACAATCTTTTTATTTATCTTTGTTCTGACTTTTCAGTCAGAGCATGATGGTTCAGATGTACAGATTAAATTGAACGTTGAACATCACCATGGAGAAGATGTTGTTTCAAACATGACAAAATCACCTAGGGTTAAGTACATAACATACTATGAAGATTCTGAAAGTCTTCCTGGAAAGAGGACAGCAGTTTGGGAGCTTGATAAAGGTGCATGACCTATCCTTGGAATTGTCATAGACTAACTGATGCTTTTATTTAGGATTAAAATAACGCCAACTAGATCATGATGACCATATAGAAGTCAAGGCTCATAAAATTTATAAACACTTGAAAGAATTCATTAGCAAATGATTAGGGTTTTCAACGTATGAAATTAAATATTGGGCAAGGGAAATTTTTTAATTAAATGATATGTATTATCCCAGGAAAGTATTGTTTACCTGCATGTGTCACTATTTATTGATTTCATAATAAACAATAAATTTGTCTATGCAAATCTTATACAATGAAACAATTGACTGTAAGGATACATAGAAGTAAATTGACGCAATATTCTTGTAGCAAATCACAGGAACATCGTTAGATCACCAGTGCTAATGAGGGAGTTATGGCTTGAGATGTGGCATGATATCCATCCTGATGCAAAATCAGAATTTGTCACAAAAGGTATTTGATGATACTACATTTATAAACAATTTTCAGCGATTCAGCTGAGAATCTCCTATTACTTTTCTCCATTACAGCTAAGCGAGGACCTTTAAGAGATGATGACTGTTATTGGGATTATGGGAAAGCTCGCTGTGCATGGCCAGAATATTGTGAATATAGGTTATTTTCTTTCTCCCCAATTCAAGGTTTGATTTACTTTTTGGGAGGATTATGATTTTGGAAATCTTATCAAACATATTTCCAATTGAGGAAGAATTATCCAAATTCAGAAATAATGATAATTCCATGTTCACAGAATGAGTAATGGTTAAGTAAACTGAATTAACCATAAATCCCAACAGTTTTAAATTTTTCCTTAATTGGAAATTTGGTTGACAAGGCTTTCTCAATTGGAATTATTCGTAACACTTTTTTCCTTGTTGTACTTGTTTTCTGATTTAATTCTTTTAATACATCAGATGTTATCATAATGCAGGTATGTTTTTGGTGATGTTCACCTGGGACAAAGCTGCAGGTTGAGATATAATTCAGCTGATTTGTCGTTGCATTATTTGTAAATAAGAAGGTACTTTCTATTATATTCTTTGTGGTTGCTCTTCTCCATTATTTGGATTGAATATACACTGTTTATATGATTTTAACTTTTAAATAAGATTTTGAGTTGGGTAGCCCTGAGAAATAAGATAGTTATAGATTGCTCATTTGTCATGACTCTGGGACTTGTTGAGTCATTGCCTTAAATCTGCAATTATTCGGTCTTTTGGTGATCTTCTCTCCTTTTAAGTTATTCTCTTGACTAAATTGACTTGCTATTGTCCCCCAATTTGCATGAGTAGTAAAAGTGCATAAATGCATATTTTACTTCCTTGAATAGCTTCTTTACATTGTTATGCAACATCATTGAAGAAATAAGCCATCAAATGCTGTTGCTTAATTATGAAGGTGACATATTTCTACACACCTTAAGCTAAATTAGACTTCTGATGTTAGTAAATTTAATTGATCATAAATTTCAGAATCTAAGATAGAATGCACATTAAACCACCGGGTGCAAGGCAAAAGTAGAAGACAAAAAAGTAGTAGGTTAAAGTCTATAAGTCTATATACTGTAAATAATAATAATAATAATAATAATAACAACATCAACTTTAAACAATAAAATAACATTTTCAGTAAGGCTTAGGTTCTTGCTTTCTTTTCTTATCTGACATTTCATGTTTTCAGTCACAGTCATAATATTATTTGGAATCTAAAATCGTATATATAGATTAGTGGTGCCTTTTTCTTCTTTACTTTTGCTGTTATGATATGCTTTCTCTTTTTTCAACTCAGGTGCTGGTGGGATCACCGCTTAGCAATTTATACTACTGGATGACTCCCTCAATCTGAATATCAGAATCCCTCCTGCGTCTAACAATGATTTTTGGAGTTTGGTCATTCTTCAGCATTCTAGACTTGTGGCCTGTGGGGCCACTGTGTACAAGCAAATTCTTTGTTTGCTTGTTTGGAACTTCTACTCAACCTATTAGCTCGTATTTTATCCACTTCACAATTTACACGGTATATCTTGGCCAGATCTTTGTCAATATTGTACTCTACTATTACTAGCAACGGGAACCTCATTTTGATATACTACTCGGGGCATCTGATATACATCTTCATATGCTCAGAAAAGTTACCAGTTCCTACTTTGTCATCCCTGAGAAATAACAGGCCAGAGTTATGCCGGATCTGTACATCTATATTGGTGTCAATTGGTTGACAGTTTTCTTATTATAGGAAACATACAGGATATAATGATACGCGTAATCCATTTTTTGAAGAAGTTGACGTGGGAAGTGAGAGTACGTATAGACGACAGTAGTGAAGCTGAAAACTTTGTTCTCTGCTTTCATAACACACATTTTTTCACTACAAATTATTCTACCACTACTTTTCACTTTGCTTTAGAATTACACCATAAACATATGCTGAAACTTAGGCTTTGTCTAAGATGTATAATTTGAAGATTGATAATCATGTCTTATATTGTTCGCTTTGATGTTATACGCCCTTTCACAGGGAAAGGAAAAAACAATTTTGTAATGTAATGAGAAACTCTATTTTGTAAACATGATTCATTTTTTCTGTTTCTTCACTTTTATGTTTTTGGTCTATCTTTTCCCCCCCCCTCATCAAGTGAATGGAACATAATACTACTTTTGCATGCAAACCGGGATAACTAATTCCAATCTAATCTAGGCGTATGACAAAATTTTCACATTTATTTATGAAAACTATCGATTTCTAAGATTGATGAGTATTTCTTCGATCTAAACTGCTTAAATTAAATTTAGGATCGTGTCGTGATCTTATGGTTGTATGTGTTCTAGACTGATCTTCACAACCCAATATCGTGGGTCGGCCTCCAGAGGCATATTAATGGGTCATTGTCCTGCATTCCCATAACAAGCACATAGATCTCTCACTTAGTTGTACAACTCCCCATAGTACATGGTGGTGCATTCCCTCCCTCTCTGGAGTGAGGTAATGAACAAAATGGTTATGAATCTTCTCTTTTATTAGTAGTAAATATTTTTCACCTATTTATTCTCATCTTTACTTATGAAAGAGGTATTTTGCATCTATTACTTTTAGGAAAAAGCTACTCTCATATAACATGTTGTTGGAGAGTAGCTCTCTTCCCTATACATTTATCGATTTTCGTGTAACTTAATTTTTATTTATTTTTTATTTTTTTATAAGTGAGATGGCTCTACCCATAATTGTGTTCATGATAGAAGAGAATTACTTTTCTACAATATGAGATTAATAAAGCCCTTAATTTTATGAACAGTTACTCGATTAAAATATAAATCAACTATGCTTAACACATTTTCCTCTCTCAGATATATTTGAAAACACATTGCCGCTGTGCACTAACATATTTGCCCTGAGACATATCTGAGAATACATTATGATGACTCATATGAGAGCCTTGTTCCATACTATTTCCTCTAACAGTACCTCTATAGTAATATGTTTAACCCATCAAGGAATACAGTCTTAGCTCCACTATAGGAACCACTCAATTTGGTGGAACAATGACCAAAATGCCACTGTTCACTAACTTTTTTACCCAAATGTCACGCGAACAGTGTTATTTTCCAATACGCTACGCTTACAAGTTCGCTACAATAGGTAGCGAACTTCATTTGCTGACGTGACACGTTTCTGATGGCCACCTAATTCGCTATTGGAAGTAGTGAACTATGTGGTCAAAATGTCAGTCTGTTCTAATTATTTTCATGACACATGACAGTCTCTCCCAAGTTCGCTATACAGTCTAACAAACTTGGTATAATAAAACTGACAATCTGCTCAAATAAAAATAGGACACGTGGCAGTTTTTACCCAAGTTCACTATACAACCTAGCGATCTTGGTATAATGAAAGTTGGCTCCCTCTGACCACGCCCGTCTATTCTATTCTTTATTGGTAATAGTAATTTTTTCACTTGCCAAAAGTTATTTCCTTCCTCGCATTTTCTCTCTCTTTCTTTTCAAAAGTCCAACTTTTAGTATTTAAAAAAAAAAAAAAAAGTCCAACTTTTACCATAGACACACTAACATTTCACCATCTATTTTTTTTCTTTTTTTTTTATAATGTAATCATCCTCATTTTTTTCTTCCATCTTTTTTTTTCTATCTCTCTCCAAACAAAGAAACTGAAGTGTTGGAAGATATAGGGGTCGGTGTGTGAAGACGTTTTCCTTCCGTACAGTTGAAAAGCAACATGACAACTAGCATGTAGTTCGCTGCACTATGCACTGAACTTGTCCAAGTGAACGCCTAACATTTTTTTACCATAGTTCGCTACTCTCAGTAGCGAACTAGGTACCAAAAAGATGCCACATCAACAAACGAAGTTCGCTGGACATTGTAGCGAACTTGCCCGCGTGGCATATTGAGAAATAATACTGTTCGCGTGGCATTTGGATAAAAAAGTTAGTGAACAGTGGCATTTTGGTCAATGTTCCCAATTTGGTTGCAAGAATGTACGAAGATATAATATGAAATTATTGAAGACCAACACTTAACAGATTGAGCTTTTAGGTGGCGGGATTATTGTTTACATAGTATCATAGCTTCGTGACCAGGGGTCATGAGTTCGATTCTCACTGCCTTCTAATTCCTAGTGGAATTAAGTTAGCACAAGATAAAAAAAAATATGTGCAATATCCACGCTTCAAACTCAAATGATTTTTGCGTGATGAGATATGTCACATAGATATACTATAAATTATTATAGTATCAGTAAACCACCATGATGTAGATGTTCCTGACTCAAACATTATTGCCTCCCGTGGAGGATACCTGTAATTTATCCCAAAAAAAAAATATAATATAAAACTCATTAATCAATGGGAAAGAGTCATTTTAAATGACATAATTTTATGTTATTTTAGATGAAACAACATCATTTTAATGCATATTTAATTAATTTTTAGATTCTCTCTCTTCTATGAAAGTAGGAAGAAAGAGAAAGTAAAAGAAAGAGAATATAAAAAATTATCAATTATGTACCAAAACAACGTTGTTTAATAAACATTTGAAAACCAAACTACAAGTAAATTCAACTTTTCCCTCAGTCTTTTAATAAAAATGCAAGTACTTTAACCTATCTGTGCTATTAATTCGTACAAATCATAAATGTTAATTGTTGCTTTCAAGCAATGAGTAGATAATTCCACAAAATATTGTAGAGGGAGAAGCTTTTCTGCAATATACGGAGCGTGTGCAAAAATGTTCAGTATAGTCATTTTCCGGTTCGTAAAATAAGCCATCACAACACAAGTTCACAACAGAACCCATTGCCCCTTTTGTGTATTAGTAAGCAAATATAAACCTGTAGCATCATTACCAAATATGTTCAAGAATACAACTAGGGATCTTGGGAGAAAGATAAAATGATGCATTAAAAACTTGTCAAGAAAACACGGGCTAGCTGCTCTTTTTTATCTCGAACAAATATTTGAGTTCCATGTAACACCTTCTGTCATCATCTTCAAACTGTAAGACACCAACCAAAGAGTAACAAGCTTATGCATCTATATGGATCAATTGTACAAATTACACGGAATAGAGTAAATCACACGATATTGTTTCTAACAAACTTAAACAAAATGGCCAACTAATGGAAGCTCTTTACTTTTTTCATACATTGGGATTTCAAATTTGTAATAGCCTTTAGCAAATTGAAATATAGTGATTGTAAAATATATAAATGAACATTAAATAACCAACCCTTTAGGTGTGCTTGTAAAATGATCTTTCTTCCAAAATGTCTACCTTTCCATTATCCATTTGCTAAACCAAACACACCCTCATATTGATGCTAAACTAATTTCTTGGCTGGTCTTAATATATGTCTGATGAAGATAAAACTCTCAGTCTCCCTGCTGTTATGACATTACATCTATAATGAAGAATAGCATAATTGACAGTTATCGGATCTTAGTTATTATGAGTTTTGAGTAGCACATAGAAGTTTTCCTATATTTGGGTTGTCTAGAACACCATATACAAACATGCGTATTGAATTGAATTCCCAAAGTTAAAGGAAAAAAAGTAAAAGAAAAATGGATCATAATTTTCAAGTGTTTGACAACATTGAACAAGTTTTAGATCATAGATTTTTAAATAAAATTTCCATAACATTAACTAGATAAAACTTTTTTACTGGAGTTATTCAAAACAAAGCAGATGAGCAACCATATATTTGCCTTGCAGATAGAAAATTCACTATGAAATATATTAAGGTAAGTCCACACATATATTGAAATTATGAACAAAGCATTCAATTGGAAATGTATTTTTACTTCCCCATACCTTAAGTTTAGCTGAGTAAACACCCCTTGCAAGTGCACCAGAGGGAGTGGTGTCCTCTTTCAAGGTATATACATATGGTTCCTTTTGAGGAGCAAAAGTACCCAACATTCCTTTGCTCTGATCAACTGAAAAAGCCCAAGAGTAAGATCAATTTCTAATAATATATGTCAATAAATAAATGCAGTAATTCAACTTCATTTTCATGTGCAAATTATGTTCTCATTTCTATGTTGTACCATACAGATGGCATAAGATTCCTTCATTCAAGAAAACAAGCTGTTGTTTGAAAAGTAACGACGATTAAACATAGCTTGAGACTTTTTTCTTGGAGTTAACCCAGTGTTCTAACATAAATTGCTGGACTGCTAAAACTGAATTAAAATTCAGTATCTCCTAGAAGAAGAGAGGAAGCCCTACCAGACATCATTTACTATTCTACAAGCTAGTTTGCCATTTGTGGTGCTCCCTTTGTCCTTCCAATGGGGTTAATAACACCTAAAAACTTCTCCCCTCAGTAAAACGAGAAAGGACCTTAATGATCACCAAAAACGAAGAATGCTATACAAATAGACCAAATAATCAGTACTATTACCAACTGCTTTTCGAAAATATCAAAACACAATGCCTTAAGGCATTGTATCCGGCAGCTGGAGGGAATTAAGGTTCTAGACCCGATCTCATGAACTCATCAAAGTGAATATTGCATTGATCATTATTTGCATTATCCTATATAAGTGAAGAGCCAGGTTTTAAACTGAGTTATAATAGAACAAGATATTCATAGTTTCAAACCTTTGATTTTTATAAGTCAATCATAATAAACGTACATATTGAAGATTATCTAGCAACAAAGAAAAGTATTAACTACACCACCTTGAAGCCCTCCTTTCCACACAGTGTTGGAGTATGTCAAGCCAGACACAATGTTGTGCAGAACACTAAATTTAAGCTTAAGCTGATAGCGAGACCCCTCCCTGAGAGTGAACAGAGTACGACCATTCTGATTTTCATCCACAGGTAAAGGAGTAACTATTTCACCAAAATCCTCAGAGAGAATTCCAATGGAGAGGAATTTTACTTCAGGCTCCAATTGATCTATAAAAGAAAAAATAAAAAAAAACTAAAGTAGAACCAAGCAAAAAGAGCAATGAAGTATAAAGAAGAATTATAAACAAACTCCTCAAACAAACCTTCTAAATCACTTTCCAAGCAACCTAACAGCTTCTCCTTCCACCTCCTCAGGCTTTCGTCCTCCTGCACACAGGCACACAGCACACGAATCCTCAAAATCAGAAAAATTAGAAGTAAAAATCACTATTTTTTTGTTACATTAGCTTAAATCACTTCATTAACGAGTGATATCATCAACCTATGAGAATCCACTTGGATATCATATGCAGTATTTTTTTAAGGAAAATTCGATACATTGTGAACAATTAAGCCACAGCTGCTTGAAATGGATATTTTGCAAATGGTTTGAGAGACTTTGCAAATACTTTAAATTAGTTGAACCATTTTGCACAAAGCTTGCAAAGTGTTTCACCATTCCATTTTAAATACTTTAACTAGTGAAAATTCAGTTTTGCAGTTCAAGAGAGGATTCTTAACAAAATCCACAAAACCAACAATCCATTCAAAAATAAGAAAAATTCAATCTTCCAAAAAACCCACAATTTCAAAGAAATTGGGGGAAAAAATGCAGAACCAAAGAGAGGTGAAAATCATAAAGACCTTGTCCCTTTCGATCTGCTCCTTGAGAGAAACAAGAGGACCAGGAACAAAGACACCATTTTTATGATCCCCAACGCCTTCAACTTCATCTTCCTCTTCCTCTTCCTCTTCCACCTCTTCCCTACCATCATCAAAAACTTCACTCAGTTTTTCAGTCATTTCTTGTTTGCTTGCATCAAAAACAGAAGCAGAAGAAGGGCCTGGTTCTTCTTGTGCTCTCTTCCCATTCCCACCCTCCATTTCTCTCTCTCTCTCTCTCTCTCTGGATTTTTGGCACAATATTCAAAGAGACAGACACAGAAGTAGTCAACAGAAAAAGAAGTGTTTCATATGTGACTGCCACATTCACATTGTCTTGGCTTTCTCAGTTTCAGTGTTGACTAAACACACTGTACAAATGTTTTTTCAGTGCTTTATCTGTTTTCTATATGTTTCAGCATTTTTCATTCCCATTTGTCCCTACTTTGTCGGCGCAAGAGTAAAACTTTGGTACCTCCAAGGTATCCAAGTGGATACTATCTTTTCTCACATTTGTTAAAAAAATTTATCACTTTTGGAAAAAAAAAAAAAATTTCCCACCATTGAAAAAAAAATTCCTCAAAAAAAAAATGTACCCAATTTCATATATCCGATACACGGAAGCTGATTTTCTCATGTGCTAATTAACATGATCATGTCATATGAGGAGGCAATCATGGATGAGTTAATGGTGATAAGGAAAGAGAGAAAAAAAATATAAAAATAGAAAGTTACATAATCATCACCGTTGATTTAATTATTAATGATTAAGATCCTCCCACCACGTAACATTATCACGTTAAATTACACGTGACAATATCCATTTTCACCTGTACACTCACAAAATTATGGTCCGCGCATGCCTCGCTCACTGCTCCCTCTTCTTTCTGATTTTCGAAACTGCCAATTGCTGCTTTTTTTACACACTCCTTTTGCAATTGGGTCCTTCAACAACATTTTATTTTCAAATAAATATAATGAACAAAAAAATGAAAAAATATAAATAAGAAATAATTTTATCTTCTATATACACATATAAAAATGCTATGTAGAATTATGTGAAGAGAGGAGAGAAAAAAAATAATATAGACCCTATATAATTTTTTTTGGTAAAAAAAACTATTTTTATTTAACATGCACAAGCCGAGTCGGCCGACGGCAACAGCGTGTGTGGTTGACCAAATGCAACCTAACTATTTTCTTCTCCACAAAATGTGTAATGTCCCAAGGGGCGACTTCACATACTTTTATGTGTGTGTAAGAAATAAAATTATTTCTTCGACATACGAAATATTAATTCCAAAAATATATTCTATGAACAATGTATTTTTTAGTTTTTCTATCATTTCACAATTTAAAAATAATAAAATGAAATTCTAATAGTATATTATGTGAATCTCTATTGCAGTATACATCAAGTGCATCATATTTCAAAATTCAAAGAAATTGCATCGGTTTTGTACAAATTTAACCTGTTCAAACTTGTTGAGTTGATTCAAACTTTTTTTTTTGGGTTGGTGGGGTCATCTTGTGAGTCCAAATCTGTTTGGCAAAGAAGAAATTTTTTTTTACCAAGAAAAAAATAATTTTCAAAAAAATGATAAGAATTTTTTTTTTCCTGGCAAGTTACTAAAAAATGTTTGATAGGCCAAAATCTTTTAGGAAATGTTAAGTTAATTCTACTGATGTTGTTGTGTGTTAATTTTTCCACCAAATGAGAAAAACAACTCCACCCCTTCAATGGTAATCTTCCCCAACCATTTTATATAGAAAAGCAAATGATGAGAATTTTTTTTTCATTTTTACTTCACCTCCTACCAAACATAGTCAAATAATTTTTCCTACTCGATTTTTCTATGAATTTTTGTTTCACCTTCTACCAAACACCCCCTTACTATGGTGACCGGGGAGTAATTTTGTCATTTGAAAAAAAATATACCGAAATACTAGTAAGGGGGTGTATCAGTTCATCAACCTATCCAAGTTGATTCAAATCGCAGCGACCGAACCGAAAAATCGATAACCGAATTAATTAAAACCTGAAAAATTGAAAATTGAAAAAAAATCACAAATTTTAATTGAATTGGATCATTTTTTCGGTTTGATGGGTGAGAACCGATCCAATCGAATAGATTAATTTTTCTCTACCTACTTGGGTCTTTCCCTAATCATAGCTAAAAAAATTCTAAACTCAAGACTCATTAACCCATTAGCTAAAACAAAACAAAAAACCTAACCACACCCCATAAGCAAAATCTCGTCTATATATAGTTTCATATCTCATTGTCCAAAAAAGAAAAAGATTATCGTTTAATAATGCTTCAATATTTCAAGAATTTTTTCTACAAAGCCAATACATACAAAATATATGTTATTTGCACAATAATCATCAAACCAATTTTAAGCTTTTCAAAAAACCAAAAACTGATCCAATCCAAACTAAAAAAAATTTGATTGGATTGGATCGGATTTGAAAAAAAATCCAAACGAATGGATGATTACATGATCAAATCGAAGGGATTGGATCAGATAATTTTTATTTTCAAAATCAATCCAATCCAAATTTGGAACACCCTTACTATAATTTGTTTTGGGTAATTATCTATAAATTGAGAATTTATCTCAATTGAAGATGATGTACCATACAACTTTTTAAATTTAGAACTTCAAATGTTACTCTGTTATATTATATTCTTGAAACATTTGACATAGAATATATTATGAATTTCACAAAAAAATCAATTGATGGTAGCTCAGATGAGTGCTCGGGAATTGAGCACAAGAGGATAGAAGCACGTATTCGATCTTATCTAGTACAGTCTTTGAAAAGAGTTTAAAGTTTTAATTCTGGGACCCACACCAAATCTGACTAGTCGTGAGATATCTCAGAAAAAATAAAAATAAATTGACTACAAAACTAGAATTCATACAACCATACGATATATATAATCAAAATAGATGTTAAAAAGAGTTATCTATGGAAAAAAGATAAAACATAGATTATGACTCTCACGCATGAACAAGTATTATCTATAATTTGTTTTGGGTAATTATCTGACAATTGAGATAACTACGGTTTAAATTTAAAACTTGAAACTTTACTCTGTTTTATCCTATAAACACGTGACACATAATAATAAGTATATTTGAAGATAAAGCTAAAATTCATGCAACCATAACATACAGATTAGCGAAACAGATGTTAAAATGAGATATCTGAGAAGAAGTATAAAACAAAAACTAGGACTCTCATGCATGAACAAGTATTATCTATTGTTTTGGATAATTATCTGTAAATCGAGATAAAATTCAAAGCTTCAAAATTTACACTCTGAACGGATTAGACTCACACGGTTGTTAATATTCTGAAAATCTATAAAAGCCTTCATTGATTCTTGCTTTCTCTCCCTGTCTTCCCCTGATTTCGTAATTGTTTCTTGCAGTTCCCATTGCCCTAACACCTGTGTTTAGCTTTCGTTTCTTACATTCCCCACCCATCTGTTAATTAAACCTATCAAATTGAACATGGAAGATCAGTGGCTTACCCTTTCACTCTCCAGAGTTCCAATGCCACAGCCACAGCTGCCGTTACCACCACCACCGTCGTCACTGCCACTCGCAACAACACTCCCTCCCCTTTTTCCATATCCACCATTAGAAGCAGCACCCATGCATCAATTCTCATCACCCCAAGAACCCCTTCAAGAAATACAGTTTTTCCCGCCACCAGAGACTATGTCTTTCCATGTCCACGAGGGGCAAGAGCAAAGCCTATTCGCAAACTTTGATCTTCCACCACAAGAAAATCAAGATCAAGAAGTTGTTCCCTCGTCGACCCACCAAGGACGACGTAAGCGTAAGCTACCGGTTGGGGCCACGAAGAATGGCAAGAGTGAGACAATAACACCACCATACCCTTGGGCTACTTCAAAACGCGCCACCGTTTATAGCCTTGAACAATTGTTATCGCATGGCATGAGGAGAATCAGTGGAACAGTTCAATGCAAGCGATGCGAGGAACAATACGACATTGGATTTGATTTGCAAGAAAAGTTCGATGAGGTTGGTAATTTCACAGCAGAGAACAAGGACAGCATGAGGGATAGGGCACCAGATAGGTGGATGAATCCTGCGCTCCCAACGTGTGAGAGGTGTGGCCAAGAAAATAGCTTGAAGCCTCTCATTACGAAGAAGAAGAAGACAACCAACTGGCTCTTCTTGTTTTTGGGACAGATGCTTGGATGTTGCAAGCTTTCATATTTGAAGTATTTCTGTAAGCACACCAAGAATCACAGAACTGGAGCCAAAGATAGAGTGCTTTATCTCACTTATCTGGGTTTGTGCAAACAACTAAATCCAAAGGGACCCTTCCACACCTAGATCCATTACTATTATTCATAATTCAAGCCTTTTGATTAAGGTCTTTTTCTCCATTGGCTTTTTTTTTTTTCCCAACCGGGTTCATCTAAAACTCAACTTGGTCATTTAGATACTGTAGGATCTTGAGTACCAATAAGAGAAACAGGCTGCTTAATCACAACTCTATGTCTATTCCCATGCTCGTTTTGGATTTTTCTTAATGTTTAAATTTTCTTTTATTGGATAGTGTTAATTGAAATTTGTAGTTGATATATAATATATGGTAAAATCATTTCTGCAGCCGTTTTACGTACAATGTATGGTTATGATTTCTCACATTTAATGCTTTCATCCTTTGTATGATTGTGATTCCTTACATTTAATGCTTTCAAGCATATATATGACAAGTATTTGATTACTGCACTACAACAGCTGCAGAAATGTAAACATCATAATATATACGCTCTTTTATTGGATATTTTATTATTTCGTATCTAAGCTGGTATATTTGGATATTTTGTTATTTTATTCATTTTAAAATTAGACTCCTAATTAATTAAAAAAAAATTAGACTCCTAAGTTTTAAAACTTAATATTTGGTGTATGTAATCTGTGCTTCAAATTTTTATTGTTAATGCTCATATACTTTTTTGGCGGCTAGGAAAACCCATGGTGTAAAAACTATTTTTAGTGGGCTAAGTTTATGGATCTTTTGAAACTTTACCACTCAAACTTCTAAGTATTTGTAGGGTTAAGAACCAAGACTTGACTGCGATTATCAAGTCCTTAGCTATATAACATAACCATTGAGCTAGGGGAGACAACAAACCCAAATGCATCAATGACCATATCTAAATGCTTGACCCAACCAATCAAAATTATTATCTCTAATACCACTATTAGGTGGCTAGATGAAGCCCATGGCCGAAAGATTAGCATCAATAGTCTGATCAATATCCATCATAATAAATGATTTTAATGCTACTTCTAAATTCAAAATCTTAAAACATTGAATTCACCTCCTACCAAACACTCCCTTTCTAGCATTTTGGTATTTTTTTTTTCTTAATTCACAGCATACATAATAAATTCATAAGAATTTAAATTCTCAATTCCGTTATCAAATGAGCCAACATTGATTGGTGTAGTAGTTTATCTTTAATGAATAAAAATATCTTTTTTTAAAAAAAGAAAACAATATCTTGAACAATTATGTATGATTATCTAATTATTATTTGGTAATGGCGTTAAAAAAAACATTTGTAGAAGACTTTACATCAAGTTGTTGAATGATTGGTTTTACTGTTATATAAAAATGGTTAGAAGGTCAAGGCATTTATGTTATAATAATGACCATAATTAGTATTCTCTTTAGGTTTCGTGCAGTATACTAGTTTTCATATTATATTGGGCCATTCTGGTAGGATTGGAGATTGCTTGGAATAAAGGTTTTAGGAACGTATGGGTAGAAGGGGATTCCCTATTAGCTCAGCATCTCATTTTGAAGGAATGCTGCCCTTATCCCATCCTTCCTCTGGACTGATTATGCGTATCGGAGACATGCTAGCAATGCATTGGAACATTCATATTTCACATATCTATCGTGAGGGTTATGGCATAGTAAATTGGTTGGCTGCCTATGCTAACAATTTTTCTTGGGCGGTTCACTTGCTGGAGAATCCTCCTCCGGAGTGTTTGCACCATCTTCTATATAACAATATGGTATAGTTCACTAGACTAAGCTTTGTGCCTAGTTTTTGTTTTTGTCTTGTTTTTTCTTTCCTGATGTTTCAAAAAAGAAGAAGAAAAAATATTACTTCTTGTGCATTTCATCATACTTACTGACCTGGGCTTTACTCACTGACCTGGGCTTTACTCTATGTTTACCTTCTCTCAACATATTTTTGACTAAAATATTCATACACGCCTTTAACTTGTGGATTAATTTTAACTACATCCCTTCAACTAAAAATAACGTTTATACGGTTACTTTTGGTTGAGTTGTAATCCCATCCCTTAAAACTAAAAATACAGTTACTGTCACAACCTCATAGCGAAAGCTTTGATGACATTCGGATCGGAAGACCCTTATAATGCGGTGAAAATAATTCTCTAGTGCTTTTCAAGAACGGGGATTCTATGCTACCCTTTGATTTGTTAAGATATTTTAATGTGATTGGAATGCAAAAGATATATAATAGAATAAAACTCTCTCATTTAGATATTTGAAGATAAAATAGGAGAAAGATTGAATTCTATTATAAATTTAGAAATTATAATAAAAATGAATAGAATGGTAATAGTTATAAATGTATTTTTTTCTTTTTTTCATATTGCCCTTATTTCAAACCTGAGAATATTGAAATTTCATAAGTTGTTCCATGTCATTTCATCTCCTATCTCTTAATTTAGGGGAAAAGATAAATGGGAAAATCTTTGTAATTGTATTTTATTCGATTCCTTTATATCCTTTACCACCAATAAAATTATAAAATAATTAATTCAGTTGAATAATAATTAATTGCATCATTTTCTATAATTAAGTAGCTAAATGAGCTAGATAAATAATCAATGAATTTGTTGCTAATTAATTGATTTAGGTAAAACAATTAGTTAATAATGTATGTTGATTTTGACAGGCTGACAATATCTTACACACTTCGGTTGAGTCTAGTGCTCTGGAGGGTATGAATATATATTGATTGTAGATATGTTTATTATAGCTATGAACAGTTGGGTCAAGATTCAAGAACCCCTTACAACAATTTTTTTTTTTTTTTTAAAAAAAAAAACTTAAAAAAAAAGAACGTTAGAGAATCCTAATCTAACACTGGCACATTTCCTCCGATTCTTTGACAGGTTTTTTACACACATCACCTTGTTGGTTGGATGCATTTCCCTGTGTTTATGATAAGAATCTTAGCACTGTTTGCTAGGTGTATATTTTTTAGAATCCTGAAAAGCTCATTTAGGATTCCAATTAACCTGCGTTTGGTAAAGGTGTTGCAAAAATTTCTCGATGATTCTAGTTTGTCCAGCATTTTCATGGTCAAAGTACCATCAAGAAATACCACAAACTAGGTGGTATTGCTGAATCCAATTTCTCGGACAAACTTGTTTTTTTAGTCAAAATTGACTTTTTTACCCAGAAATATTTTACCAACCAAATAATTTTTTGATAATATTCTCAATATTTAAGGTACAATGCAAATATAATTGTAACATTCTATTAGTTTCGCAATCCAAACCCACGATTCCAATTCCAAGATTCCAACCCCCAGTCCAATCTGGAAAACATAGTGGGTGCTTTGACACCATTTGATAAAACGTTGAAGTGCATCACCCTAAAAATTAGCTTAAAAAGTGAGAGTATTCAAGGCTTTATAAATCTCACGTGAATTGTCCATACAACCGACGTGAGACTCAAGTCTCATACATTGCAAATAAGGTCGTAACAGTTTAATGACAGTTTTAGTACTGAAGACTCAATATATATTAGTTGGTAAAATTGGAAAAAAAAAATAATTCATCTACCTTAACTTATTTTATCCACTCGTTCATGGGTAATGGCACACAGAATCCATTTTTTCAGAAAATGAAAGAGCAGCAGCTCGCAACAAAGGAAAGCAAAGCAAATCATGAAGGATGACTTTCTTATTGACCTATACCGACGTCAAGAATACATAAAAATTATACACGAATATGTATGTCAAGCGTGAGATGGCATCACAAAAATGCTTGCAGAATCAGTCATCTGAAAGGTTCAACTGGTGCTGACTCTTCAAGAAAGTTTGCTGTCTCAAAACATTCTGCAGCTTCTAACATTTTACCCTCAGCTTTGTGGAGAATGCCAAGATTATACCAAGCAGAAGCATTAAATCTGTCATGCCTCAGTGCATCCATCAGAAAGCTTCTGACAGGAGGATTTGATTGATTACTGCACCGTCTTATAACCACAGCAGCCGAGATCAAGCTAGGGACATGTCCGGGATCAATGTTCAAAGCTTCACGAAAAGCTTTTAGAGCCTCTTTGTAAAGGCCCTTTGCTTCGTACATTGTACCTGTCAAATCGAACAAAATGCATTATGCAAGTTTGAAATAACTAAAATGGAAAATTTACTGCTCACTCTCAACCCACCTCCTCCCCCTCTTTTTCTACCTTTCTCAAATTTACATGCAAGAAGCCCATTTTGGGTAACTTATCTTTGCTAAAATTAAACAATGCAAGTGACAAGAACAAAAAAAAAGTGGCAAGCCAGTGGAGCTATTGTGTTGCAGTGACCAAAGAAAACACAGCAGTGCCTGTGAGACCATTCTATAAAATGAGGGTAAAATGAAGCACATACAAGCACAAGCAACAAAACCAGAGCCAAATAGTGCATCCATAAATCTGGAATATCATATTCAAAATTAGAAATTATTCTACAAATACGTAAAAAGGGCTCCAAAGTCCAAAGCCTCTTCCAGTAACATGTTAAACTTTGTTCTCACAAGCACCAGGAAATATTTACATTCATCTAAATGAAAGAAAAGGTTTATCGGTGTAAAAAGTACTTGATCTTCATGAAATTCAATAGTGAAGACAAAAAAAATCTTATTGAAACTATTTAATTAAGGATCCCCCTGATTTACTAGTGCCACTAAGGAATAAACCTCTAATCTCGTGCAAATTACCGGAGCCCCTCACCAACTAGTTCACTCCTCTTGGCTTAGGATTCCCCCGATTTAGGCTGAAAGTTAACATCAACATCAATAATACCTTTATCCTAACTTAGTTAGGGTCGGTAGCAGCACACGAATGAAAAGTACGAAAATTCAACACCGAGCTTACAGTTAGGCCCAACCAATTCTAATAACTAACTTCTTGTTTGATCAAACAGTACACTACACTCTAATATTCAATAACATCACTTAACATCAATCATTACCAAATATTAACCGTTTAACAATTACAACCAGCTTAGCCTCATTTTATTACTATGTAAAGCACCACTCATGCATGTTTTACAGATGCTTCTAGGTGCACATTTTCTGCACCTTTTGTGGAGGCTGTTGTGCAAATAGGCTTAGGTTAGTTTATCATCATAATATTAAAAATTTGGACTAGGTTAGACCTATTTAAATGTTTTATAAGACATGCCATGCTTGACACCCAAGCTCTGTCATTTCTTGGCACCTCACTGCATCCAATGTATTACTATTACATCGCTATAAACAAAGAGTACTATATCAGACAATATCTGCCAGTTATTTTTAAGTGACTATAATTGGTTAATGTCATTTCAAAAAAATCATAAAACAATATTATATGTTTACCTATTGCATGACATCTAGAAGCAGAGTATAGTTTGATGGCCTTAGATTTTGAAAGACACACCTCTGCATCATGCCACTGTGACAGACTTATGTATACATAAGCAAGATCATGCCAAATTTCCACTTCCAAGTTCCTAGCATGATCTCTGTAGTCCTGTTACAAAGAGTATAGGGAAAGAGGGTAAGCAGCTGGAAGCAATGTCTCTTCTGAAGTGAATTTCTTGTGCAAGTAAAATTTTAAAAAAAGAAAAAGGAAAAACATAGGGGGGGGGGTAAAAAAGGTCTCCACACTTTATTTAGTGTTATCTTTGGAGCAGAACTTAGTTTTTGAGTTTTCAGATAAAAGCAGTTGCCTTAAATACATCCTTTAAGAAAAATTCCATATGCATTCCAGACATAAAATATATAAACTTCAATCATTCACTGTGGATCAAATTCATTCACCAAACATGTTTGAACATTTGAAACAAAAAAATAACCAACAAAAAATAGTCAAATCCTCTAATGGATTGCATCTAGACTCCAAAGTATGCACCTATAAAGCTCAGCCATCTAACTTTTCACTAAATAGTTTAGCAGATCTGCAGGGCCATACATGTAAATACAATAAGATGAATTCAATAATCATTAACTTAGAATATATTATTAGGCTTGATTCCTTAAAGAACATATACAAATATGCATATTTCAATTGGCATAAAAAATTAGAAAGAAATTTTTACACCAAATACATCTGGGCCCAACTAATACTGATAACTAACAAGTAACAGCTTTTATAATTTATAAAATCTTGAATTTGTAGTGCATAAGGCTTTAATCATCTATATATCCTAATACTTCCCCACCCAACCCCCCCCCCCCCCCCCCGGGCGGCCGGCCCCCACATGTGGGTTGAATACTTCTGCTGGCACAATATTGGGACATTTTGGTTCAAAATGGGGAGACAGAGATACAAGAGATTTGAACTTATAACCTGCTGCAATGATACGGCCATAATGCACTGCTGACTCTTTCAAGAGCAAAAATTCATCAAGACCAAAAGACCTATACTGCTATACAAACCCAACATCCCCAGTATTTCAACCAAATGGTCTCTTGTTCACATAGGTAATATCTGGTATAGAGGAAGAATAAATAAGTAAAATTTGCTTTAGAAATAAGAAAACAAAGAGAGGAAGATAAAAATACAGCACAATCAGAATCTGAGCTCCTCTTCAAAATCTAAGGAAAATTAGAAATAAGGCTTAATCTAATGCCAATCATGCAGATTCAAAAAAATGTAGCTTTCCACAAAATATTCACAATTTCAGATTAAAAATACTGACTGTCACATAAACATGTGAACCCAGAAGTAGCATGCCTTTAAAAGAGTACCATACTTTAAACAGTTTCATTGTTCTCCTCATTATATCCAAAGGAACTCTTTGATCCTGCTTTTTTTATTTTCAAGATATGCATCCATGTCAAACTGAATAAATGATGACCATGCCTTACACTACTCTCACTATGAGTGTTCACATCAATATGAACAGGCATGGACCATCTGGACACTTCCTTTCATCCACAGTTAAAGAAACATGGTTATAAGTTTCTGCAGCATATATATTTCACAAGTTTATGGGAGACAACATCTAGCCAATTCTGACAGTAATGATCACAAGAAAAAGGACTATGACTCAGAATTATAAATCATCCAGCATTACAACCAACAAACCTTGTATAGCTTCTTCCTTGAACCAAAAGCTTTTCTCTGAACTAGAAGAATAGCAAGTAGCTGACTATATGTTTCAATGGCACTCGTTAACTGGCCCTGTGCAGTTTGCAGTTTAGCTTTTGTCCGTAACAAATCTCCTTGGTCCCATATTCCAGTTTGATCCAAAGCAGCATTGACAATGGATTCAGCATCCAAAAACTGCTTTTGAGCTGATAATATCCGGGCTAACAATAACCACCCTTTAACATTAGATCCAACTTCCAAGTTTAGAAAGCATTCGGCGTAATGAAGTGCAGCATCCAACTTCCTTTGCTCTGCACATTCTAAACTGAAATGGTACAGTAAAAGGGGTTCACACATTCTGGTCATTCTGACCGCAGTTTCCAGGAAATGAAGTGCCTCGGACTGTCTCTCAAACCTCTCAGAATCAGAAATAGCCAATTTTGAGTGTGCTGAAAGTGAAACACCAAGTAAGCAATTGGCAAGACTTTCGAACTGATCACATCTTCCATCCAAGTTATCAAGCATTCTGCGAGCAAAGCTTACCCCATCTTTTGCAAGATCAGGGTTCTCGCAACAAATCTTAGAAGCCATTAACAAAGCAGGAACATGTTTCGGGTCCTCTCTGCTACTCAACAATTTTAGAAGAAGATTCAGTGCTGCCAAGTCCTTACCTGCCCCATAATAACAAAGAGCAAGGGCATGGTATCTTTCTCTTCGATTGATAGTCCCAGGAAGCAATTCTTCCCATTGACTGGCTAAAGCTGTCAAATCCCCTGAAACAGATAGAGCAAATGAAAGGTGGTCCAAAATTGAAGGATCCCATTCAATTTTATTTAGAGAGACTTCTCTTAGCAAAATCATTAAAAGAAGTATAGCCTCCTCTATGTTGTTTGTGGGTACAAATGAGCTGTCCATATGAGAACGAAGATTTGGGGGGATTACTTCCCCTCCGCTATATAGAAGAAAAATAACAAATTCTTTCTGTATCTTTGCTTTGGTCTCTGAATCAAGATTCCACTGAGGAAGGAGCGCATGCCGATAAGATAAAATAACTTCACGGGGACAATCAGCAAGTTTCCATAATTCTGGAAGTAGCTCAACTGCCTTACTCAAAGTCTCCTGCAATTTACATTCAGCACCAAAGTTTTCAGGCAAGCCTTCAGGTAATGAAGACTCAACTATGTCCAAAATAACTTTGCAAGTTTGGGCAGCTTCTGCAAGAGTGATTTGAAATATATATTAGATAACATTTTGGCTACTCATATAGCTCAAAACCTCATAATTCAAAAGGAATGCCCATTTTGCTTGACATTAGATAATTCTTGTCAAATTGTCAAAAGATGGATTGTGTGCCTCGATCTCTAGGTAATGAAGATCTTCTTTAGTCGTTTTGTGAAATCAACAAAGCTATTTTTTAGCTATTACGGAAAATAAAAACATTCATTTTAATTTTTTGAGGTATTCGGCCAAAAGTATAGAAGTGCTAATGTGACAGCCAAAGTAGAAGCTCTGGCATCAAAGAGAAACAATAAATTGGTGCTTCTCCATTGAAACAAAGGCAGAAGAAGAAAAATTATTTGAAGTCATGTAAAGAACCAATTCAACCGAAAAGCTTTTGGGTTGAAATGGTTCTTTATATGGTATCAGAGTCTCCGTGACCAAATGGTCACGAGTTTGATCCTCACCGTCCTACATTCTATTAAAAAAAAAAAATATTATGGAATTTCTTAGCATGGGTAGGGGGCCCGATGCATTGTCCACGCTTCAAACCCAATAAGTATCTGTGTGAAGGGGCGTGAGAGACATATAATATAAACACTATTGATAGGCATTCACTTAATAGCTTAAGCTTTTGGGTTGAAATGATTCTTTATAAGTCAAAATTATTTTTTTAAGTAAGCAAGTGTTTTACAAGAAAACAATTCCTGGAAATGTTAAAACTTCACAATACCAAACAAACACTACATTCAAATAATGAAGGCAGATTATTTAACACGATTATCAAGTCAAGTAATGACGTATATAGGGCGAAAAAAATATGTAAAGATAATCTAAGAAGCTACAATATTTCCCATTGTGATGGGAACAAGTTCTAGAGGAACACTCTGCATAGCAGATGCCTGAATTTGACTAAGCATGCAAACTAAATCTTATGGTTAAAAAGAAGAATCATAGCAGTTAAATCAAACGCATGAAACAGAACCTAATCACCAGTAAATAAGTCAGACGACAGATAAAGGACATGTCATTTTGCAGATAAAAAGAAAATATAAATGAAAAGCCACAGGTTCCTTTACGTTAAATTAAAAATTAAAGAGAGAAATTATGAACCAAAAAACCGGTAAGGGTACCTTTAAACCTCCCAAGAGCCTGCAAGCATTTTGCTTTAAGGAAAACTGCTTCCAACAGTAATCCAGCAGTATGTATAGACATTGGTGGAGTAGTATGATTCTGGGGATGTCTCTTACGGCGTTCTCTTCTTTTGGCAAGGGAAATTTTTATCTTGGGAGTCACTGCGCCTATATCTATTCCCTCAAAAACATGTAAAGCGGATTCTATATTTCCTTCCTGATATTCATATCTTCCTAACAAAGCTCTAGCTTCCTGCAGATTACAGGCATGTAGCAGATTGCATCATGTTCAATAAATAGATCGTCAATGATCAAACAACTCATGCATCAGCCATGATCTGAAAGAAACCAAGGCCTTGATTACATATACACAATAAAATGAGGTAAGATGATATACCAAAATAAAAATAAAAATGAAATAAGATGAATGATTCTGTTAAACTACTAATAGATACATGCCGAGGGCTTTCAACTAATCAACTTTCCACAGATAAAGGCGGAGACAGAAAGATCTGAAAGCAGTTATATAACTATTAATAAGGGCAACCCGGTGCTATAAAGCTTCATCTATACAGAGGATCAGGGAAGAGTCAGACCAGTTGCGTGGGTGTATAATAGGCAGCCTTATCTTGCATTTTCATGATTCGAACATGTGACCTCTGAGTCACATGGCAACAACCCCAACCATTATGCCAAGGCTTCCCTACTAATTATGAATAAAAAAAGGTGCAAACCGTGGTCCCTAACTTGCGAGGGTAGAGGTAAGAATTGTCCTCTTAACTTGTATTTTTACAAAGAGAATGTTTTCTGGACTCAAACCGGTAATAACCTTTCAAAATTTTGAGGAAACGGAATAAACTTGAAATGACTAATTGGGTGTACACAAACACAAGCATGCATATGATTAAGCAGTCTCTCTAGAGTAAGTAAGAAAGAGAAAACGATATGTCAAAGGACTAATTATTCAATATATCATCAAATGGAAAAAAGGCAAGGAATTTTCGAAGAAAAACCAACCTCATAGTTCAAGATGCCACTCTCACGTAAGGACGATTCAGCTTCTTCTATGTTGCCTGTATCCGGCCTCCTCCTCACAACTTGTCCATCACGGCCAGAATTTGCCGAATAATAATCCTTCGATGCAACAGATTCCGACCAAGGAACCATTTCATCTGCTGCTCTTAACTGCTCCCCCGAACACAAGCACTTCATTATCTTCTGCAATCTCCTCCCCTGCCTAACCTTACTCCTCCCCATGCTTTCTGTCTTTACTCACAAACCTCTCCGCTGCACCACTGCCATACATTAAATTTAAACCACAATCATCACCACACACAAAAAAAAAAAAACTCTTCTCTATGCAATTAATTCATATGGATTTGACCGAAATTTCTGATTTGTTGGTTACCGATAGTTTCCTATTCTATTAGATTCAAATTTTGAATTGTCTTTAATAAGAAACTGATAACGCTATTATCAGAATAAGAGAAGTAACATCACGAAATTGAAATCGACGCACAACGATTCAGCAGCTATTAAAATAAATATTAAAAATAATTATTTCCTACATAATTTACTGGTGAATTCAGCTGAAGACACGGTTATAGAACTCGGAAATACAGAGATAAAAATAATGGAAATGGAAAACGAGTAAAGAGAGAGAGAAAGAAGAGTAATCAAATCAATTCACCTTTTGATTTTGGAGAAAGAAAAGCAGAGGAATGAAGGGCAAGGAACATGAACAGTAATGGCCATTGCTGAATTTTCTGCAATCAAAGGCACCTTTGAATGCTTTGAATCAATTAAAGCATTGAAAGCTTCTTTATCCTCTTCGGCTTTTCCTTTTTATGATTTTTCTTCTTTCATTTTTTATTTTTTTATTTTTTATTTTTTATTTTTAAAAAATAAGTTGCAGTTTGGAAAGAATGAGAAGTGGAAAGCGTTCGGGAGAAGACATGAGTTTTTCCAGAGAGAGAGAGAGAGAGGGAACGGAATCGAATGGTTTCGGTGGGACCCACTCTGCTTTTTAGTGATGTTACCTACCACGATAATTGCTTGCCACGTGGTGGCTCTGTGCGCTGGCAATGCAACGCACATTAACATCACTGTCCACTCCCTTAACACCTACCATTTGCCAACCATAATTAATTAATGATTTATTTGTACTTTTAAATAATATTTAACCACAGTCAACGTGTGATTTCAATTTTTTAATAATCTTTCGTCGTAACTAAATTTTAAATTAACAAATAAGATTTTCGGTTAATCTACTCATCAACTGCCATTCAAAAATAATGACACGTCTATATATAACATAATATTTTATTAAATTAATATTTTAATGTATTTTTCGATGACTTCAATTTATTTAAATCTTTTAATATAAATATATTAGATATGAATATGTTTTTTTTTGTTGAAAATCTGATAATACATTTAAATATATTGAATTCATGGTCAAACTTATTAAGATATTATACTCGATAAGATATCATATTATTCATATATATTTTAGTCACTTATGTTAGTAATTAGACAATAAATAAAGGGTTTGTTTTTTCTGATGTTACTTTAGATAACTTTATCTAATGTTCATCAAAATGACGTCGTTTTGTGACGGAAATCATGGTATTTTTGTAATTTTAATTTATTTCAGAGTTATAATAGTCTTTATCACTCTAATTTTGTAATTTTTCAATCCCAAAACAACTTCGTTTCGATGAACATTAGATAAAGTTATCTAAACTAACATCGGAATTTTTTTCTATAAATTAAAAAATAAACTTTTTAATTAAAGAACAATTTTTATAATGTTGGAATAAAGAGGGGGTGGGGGAGAATACAATTAATACTTCATTAAATTACACTTTCCATGTCAGAAAAGAGTAAAAGAGATTTGCCAGGGAACTTTTTTTACTTAAAAGAAAGAAATTAATTATCCCCATGTTTAAAAAAAAATCTCATCAATTTATATTATTTTGATTTAATGAAAGTAGTGATATTTTAAAAAATCATATTAATATTATTGATTAAATATTTGATTTTCAGATTTGTTTTATAGATATTACTTTTTTTATTGCTTTACAAATAATAAATAAAAACTTCGATTTTTATGAAGTCCAAGTGTTTATTGAATAAACGATAGTTAAGAATTAGTTGAAAATGAAAAGTTCTTTAGCTTACTAGTAATAATCAATCTCAGAATTATAATTTTTTGTATGTGAAACAAAAAATACTTATAATTTAGACCCAAAAAAAAAAAAAAACTTATCGGATGTAGTGAGGGGCTGGCCAGTGTATAGTAAATGGTGATATTTACCTGAGGGGTTACTTACATTTATAGACGTGGAGATCCTCTTTGTGCTACAAATTTAAATATTTACCTCACATATTTTATTAATTTAAAATATTTAATTTACATCATAATTAAATAAATAATGAAAATATAATATTAAAAATAAATAAAATATAAAGACAAAAGATAATTAAATTGTTTACAATCCAAGCAACTTTAAAAAACAAACATCAACCACTAAATTACAACCTAGAAAATAAAACATTTACAAACAAAATAGTAAATTAAATATACTCTGTAAAGGGAAATTAAAAAAAAAAAACTTTTCCATCAAAAAAAAAAAACTTATGAATTAAAATATTTGACACAACTAATGTGGCAAGGATTGATTGGAGATTGAGAGAGTGTAGGACTTCAACCTCATTTCCCATTCCTCTAAAGGTGTCAATAGGGGTTGAATTTGATGGGCCAACTTAAATAATATAATAAAGTGTGTTGACTAAACCAATTAAATATATTTAAAATAAGTGATCATCTATTACAAATTAACTATCGCCTGCATAAGTTTAGTCTAATTTAACAGAGAGAGGATACTTTGACACCAGTGTTAAATTTGAAGTTTGACACCTCATCTGAGAGTCGTTAGATCAAAAAAGATCTATGGTGTCACATGCTTACAAATCAACTCTTTTTAGATCTAACGGCTCTCAGATGAAGTGTCAAATTTTAAATTTGACACGGGTGTCAAAGAATCCTACCTCAATTTAATAATTTACTAATTTAAAATGTAGTTGCTTGACTCGTTAAAAGACAACCCACGTGCGGGAGGTCAGCCGAGCTGGCCCGAATTGACATTTTTTAATTTTTTTTGGTTACGAAATTTACACCTTTATTTACCTGTCGGTATTTTTAGAGTCCATCGTAATAAATTCTTACGAGTAGAGTTCTGTCTTAAACTAAAATAATAATAATACAAAAAATCTGACAAAAGATTACTCCAAAAATAAAAATTAAATTAAATGTTTCACTCATAGTAAATAGGGTCAACAAAACGGACTCAGTCCGCCGGACTAACCTATCCCGTCTCATTTGGGGTTACTTATTTTTTGACAGATTAATAGTGAAATGAGTTATTATAAAATATATTCGGGTCAGTGTGCCAAGCCGAGCTTTTCAATCCACCCTCAAAAGTAGAGTAAGACAAATTGATTCATTTTTTGACGGATTGATGATTGATCTGGCCATTCACTTTATCACATCTAATATCAAGTAGGCAAAATTTTTTAAACACCAAATAACAAGTTAGCATCTATATAGCATGCAATGTGGAGGGTTAATTTAAGTGATAGAATGAATAGTTTAAAGAACATATATTTAAATCTTGGAGAGAATTTCTAAAATTAGAGCTAAATAATTATTATGCCGTTTGACTTAAGATTAATTTTATATTCATACTTCTTTTTCCGTCACAGTCCTAGAGATATAAATAAACCTGATTTGTCCTAAAGTGATATTTATTATCGAATATCTTTAAGAAATTTTTTAAGATAAACCAAAAAAATTAAAATTAAAAAGTCAAGCATTTATTATTTTAGTAACACAAAAATATTTTAATAGTAGTTTTTTAAATAATTAAAAGTGTTCAATAGAATATATTAAATACTTCTTGATAATCGGCAATACAGGTTTTGTTATATTATTTTCAAATATTTTCTTAATAATTATCATACTTCTTAATGAAGAAAATATAAAAAAAATGAATGTAGTCAATATCTTAAAAATATAAAATATATTCAATATTTTTTATTTAATAACTTTTGAATGATTATTAAAAAGAATGTGAAAGGAGGATTTAAAATTATTCCTTTAATAAAACCCTTTAATAAAATTATTGGGTTGTGCTATCTAAGACAAGCGTATCTGAACTGGCAAATACTTTTTATTTTATTTTTCTTTCAACTCCAAATATATGCCTTGAAATATATTCTCATCCAACGGTAGAAATGCTCAAAGATATATTACAAAAAAAAAAAAAAAAAAATGCTCAAAGATATAAACGCTAGAGCTTGTAATAGCAATTTCCAAAATTATATACGACAATCCTAAAACTATAAATAAAATAATAAACGTATAACATTAATTTCCAAAGAGAACAAAAATAGTAAATGCAAAATAAAGAGGGAAACATTAATAATTACCGATTTAAGTGGTTTTTCTAAAATATAGGTTTCAAATTCAAACTCAGATTTTTTTGACTATTTTTTCCTTTATTAATTAAAAAATATCATTTTGTCCCTCACCTAAAATATTTCACCAATATGTTTCTGTTTAATCGAGTACAACACGGGCGTAATCATCAAACAGTCAAAAAATGATTTCACCGCAGACTCCGTAATTTAATCGATTAAACCCCAATTATTTGATCGATTAAATAACGTCAGAAACATTTTTAAAAAAATCCCATTTGGCAGAGGGGGTTATTATCAAAACCCTAATCGATTATAACCAAACCCAAACCTAATCGAAAACAACTTTAGTCGCTCATTCCTCTCACTTATTGGTATGTATTCATCGATTTTTTATTTTATTTTTCTTCATTTTTTTGTGATTTATGGACATAGTTTAATTCACTATTATTTGGTTCTATTGGCTTGTGTGTTTTGCTTTGCTTTTTCGATTTGATGACTGTTTAGTTTAGGTTTAGGGTTATGTATATAGTTTAGGGTTTAGGTTTCATACATTTTGTTTTTTTTTTAAGTCAAATTCGATTTCTGAGTTTTCTATTTATTTTTATTTTATTTTGTTTGTTGATATATTATAATATGTGTTATTGTTAATAAAACCCTAAAATTACAGGGTTGTGCTATCTAAGGCCAAGCGTATTTGCACTCGCAAATATTTTGTACTTTCTTTTTCTTTTAACTCCGATGCATCATACATCCCTTGAAATTTTATCTCATCCTACGGTAGAAATGCTCGAAGAAATAAACGCTAGAGCTTGTAATAGCAATTTCCAAAATTATATATGACGAAAGGTTATATTTATTACATTTTTTTCTTACTACTTGTTACAACTAAATTTTAACCATTGATTTCCGTCAATCTAACGGTTATAATTTATTGGGTCATTTTATTAATTAATTATTAATTCTAATAAATTTTAATCGTTAGATTGACGGAAATCAACGGTTAAGATTTGGTAGTAACAAGTAGTAAGAAAAAAGGTAGTAAGTATAACCTTTATAAATAAAATAACAAAGGTATAACATCAATTTCAATCCCAAAACTATGCTCTTTTGGGACAAAATACAGATAACTTATCTACATTAACTGCAGAAATATTTTCTATAAAACCTATATATATAGAGTATGGTTATATTGACAAATTTTTTATTTACAAATTTACAAACTATATTATATCTGACCAATAAGATACTATTGAGTAGAGTGTTAACGGTCAAACATAACGTATTTTGTAAAAAAAAATTGTAAATATAATCTTTTATTTATATTTATAAATATATATATATATATATATATATATATATAAACAAA